ACGTTGGAAGCACTGTCTGACGCGTCTGCCTCCGCGACCCGAAAGGAGAAGCGGCGATGGAAGATGATAATGATGATGATAGTCATATATGGTAGGTACGAAACTGATGTCGCACATTATGTACATTGTCAGTGAATATAAGTCTTATCCACGGTAGCCGTGTTTCTTTATTAATTTTCACCACAAACCTTTGAAAAACTTAAAGTCTGATCCTTTATCACAACGGCCCCTTCAGTGGGCCTCTTCATGAGTCAAAAATTAATTTGACTTGAACTGCAAATCCTTTCCAACGATCTTCATTATAATTACATAATAATGATGATCGAGTAATTCATTTGTGAGTTGATGATCCTAGTGAAAAAATAGTGTAAAACGCAGAAGAAAAAACGTTTTACTTATATACAACGCAGAAGATATTGTGATCAATTCGGTAACTGATCAAATCTGACGTTACGGCCAATCTCTCATGGGCCTTCTTCAAGGTAGAATGGCGTTGAATGTGGTTGGTCATCTGTAACAGTCGATAGTTTCTGAGCCAATAGACTTTCTGGCACCAGCCATACTAACCATCAACCTACTTTGAAGAAGACCCATGACCGTGAGCTCTAACGTTGGTATTGGCCGGTAACTGGACCGGCTACTATAGCTTTTGCGTCGTGTATAAGTAAACCGTGTTTTGCGTCACTTTTTCACAAAGATGATGATCACGCTAATAATTTCATCTATGACTATGACATGGGAAGAAGACGTAAAAATGAGAAACAGAACGATAAGATTAATTGACTAGTCAATTTTTTGTTTATACTTAAGACACACTAAAGGTTCTGAAGCAACGGGCGAAACGATGGTGATTCGTGCGAAAGACGTTTTTTAATTTTAAGGTTTTGACAACCTATTTATCGATTCGCAAATTAATTAATACGCCATATTTAAGCTGCTTCAGAACCACAATAATTCAAAAACCTTATTAAAAACAAAGCATAGAGAAACTTAGTAGGCGTCTATTGAATGGGTGTGTTCAACAACGTCGAAGTTTCCCACTCATCGTGTGCCATCGAATATGATAGCATTTTATATATGACAAACAAATCCGGGAAACGAAGCGCAGGTGTTATTTTTGCCTACTGTATCGAAAGTGACAATTTGCCAGCAAATTCAGAATATCAGAGACTATTGCCATTAAGGAACGAACTGCTTTATTAATTACTGATTGAACGAATGAATGAGCGAAGTAACAAGGGAGCAAAGGAATGAACGAATGATGAATGAATAAACTATTATATAAATGTATGAACGAACAAACAATTGATTGGTTCGCTATGGCTTTATGAAATTGTTTAAAATTTATGAAAGCCCAGGCAAGCTGTGCTCGAAGCTTTAAAGGCAGAAAGTGTTGTGAAAATAATATTTTTATTAGACAGATAAAGCTTGAATAATTTGTAGAAATAGCTGAGCGTCTATGTATTTCAACATTAAATTATGCCGTAAAGTTAAAATTTTGAATTTTAAAGTTTCAGTCTTTAATAAGTTCCATTTTTGAATCCTACCTGTTCCAGTAGTAACACAACACGGTGACACCGATTATACACATGAGTCCTAGGATTCCCCCGAAGGTGCCCAAAATTATTTCCGCTGCTTTCGTGGTCATCGCTAAAGGTGCTGGAGCTACGGAAGCTGAGTCGATTATGTTTTCAAGCTGGAACTGTGGCGACAACATGTTCTTCAATTCCGCAAACGCAGATGTTTCAAAAACGCCTCCTATTTCTTTCGTGGAGCAAATTCTTTTCGTCCTTTGGTTGATGGTCACAAAAATAAGTTCGGTGCTGCAACAAAAGTCGTTAGATCCGATGCGTATTGGTAAATCACGTTATTCATATAACAAGCTTTGAAATTAAACACATTAGCATCGTGAATTATTATTCAATGGTTCCATTAATTTGCCCACATAACCCGTATTTGCATACAAGTCTTTTAGACGTTTTTTGGGCACGTAAATATTCATACCGTCCAGAATGCCGGCTGAGGAACTTGCGAGAAACACTTTCTTCGTAAATGAACATGGTAGGTACTAGGAAAATAAGCGCCTGTAGATCAAAAATTATTGCACAATAAAGACGTTGTATGGAACTTTCCATTGGAACATAAATTATGAAGCATCTTCCACCATCGAGGACAAAACCTCTACGGCTATGTTCCCATTTGACTGAAAGGAGCTTTACTGTAGTGTCATCTCTTTCACTCCGCCGTTGCTGGTCCCAATCCAGGGATAGAGACCGTGGTGAAGTCTGCAATAAAGCCTAGCAACCTACCTCTCATAGAAATGCCCTTATCGAACGTTAAATCGGTTCGACCGTCAACAGAGCTACCAAGGGTCATGCAGGCCGCAGTCAAAAATAACGATCTGGACCTGCTCCTCGCCATCTGACGGCTGGTGCCGTCGGGCACACTGCAACATTACTGCACGTCAGAAGTGCTTCATTGGAAAGATACCGACAGCGAGACCTCATTGGAATTGTAGCATTTCCTCATTCAGAGAAAGAGCAGGAGCAAGTTGATGAGGCCGCTAGATGCTGATATGATGGAAGCTATTCTACTCAGCTGTCGACATCATGACGCGCGCTCAGACCGATGTTGGTGTTCCTGTAGAACCAAGCCAGTCTGACAGAATCACTGAATGGAAGCATGTCAGCGGAAGAGTGCGCTGCTCTGACCGAGACTTCGACCTCATTACAGGTCCATGCGGCCAATTTGAAGGGAAAATATGAGTCCTTGCTTGAGGAAGTAAAACGGTCTCTGGACGAATTGCCGACCATGGAATTCACCATTTAAATGAGCGATTTCAGTGCGCATTTTAGAGCAAAGATAGAAAAGCCAAACGGTATGATTGGAAACCATGACCCTAGCGACATCAACAATAATGACATGAAATGTTGAGCGCCAAAACGTGTGCATCAGTGAAAATCGCGATGCTTCGGTTCAAACCA